TGGCGACTCGCACACAACAGCTTACCACTAAAACGGAACATCCAACGACGTGGAATGGAATGCAACACCCTCTGCATGTGTTGTGGGAGGCTTGATGAAGATGCAACACACCTGTTCCTGAAATGCAAACTTGTAAGGTGAATTGGGAGGGCACGGACAAGACCACTGGTGCAAAATGCAAGGTGAATTGGGATGCGGTGTGCCGGCCAAAGGATCTTGGTGGCCTTGGCATACTTAACACGGAGAAATTTGCTCGGGCTCTTCGCTTGCGCTGGTTATGGTTTGAATGGAAAGAGCCCACCAAGCTTTGGGTGGGCATGGGAAACCCGTGCAACACGATGGACTACTCCTTGTTTTATGCCTCCACGTCAATCTTTGTTGGAAATGGAGCAAGGACGCCTTTTTGGGATGCGCCATGGGTGAATGACCGCAAGCCTAGGGACATTGCACCACTAATTTATGAGGCGTCCACGAGGAAAAATTGGAAGGTGCGCGAAGCTCTCAGCAACGATGCATGGGTCTCGAGAATACGCATCCCAGATTCTTTTTCGCTGAATCACTTACGTCAGTTTGTCACCCTCTGGACAACGCTTCGTGGCTTCCATCTCGAGGAGGATGCCGAAGATGATATTGTATGGAAGCACACCGCTAGCGGGCAATACACGGCCGAGTCAGCATACAAAGCGCAATTCCTTGGCACAATCAAATCCCCTATGGAGCACGCTGTGTGGAGGGCTTGGGCTCCCCCCAAAGTCAAGTTCTTCGCTTGGCTGGCTATTCAAAACAGAATTTGGACGGTAGACAGATTGGAGAAGCGCGGATGGCCAAACTGTGGCCTTTGTACACTTTGCAAGCAAAACCAAGAGTCTGTTGACCACCTTTTCTACAAATGCCGCTTCTCTATCTGCCTATGGGGATTAGTCAAGGACTGGCTGCAACTGGTGAGCATTGATACTTCCTCATGGCACCTCTCAGGCAACATCGAAGAGTGGTGGGTGGGCCTCTCCGACACATCTATCCCCAATAGGAAGGCGATGGCCTCGCTCACCATGCTAGTCGCCTGGACCATTTGGAACGAGAGGAATGCGGGAGTGTTCCGTCAGAAGAGTGCTCCGCCGACGGTTCTACTCACCAACATTAAGAAGGAGGCCACGCTTTGGGTAGCAGCGGGTGCAAGCAAGTTGGGATACTTGATGACGCGAGAGTAGTTGGTCACCTTTATTTCGGGTGTTGCGGCGCTGTCATTGTTGTAACACGAACATAAACTCTATTCCTCTTATTTAATGAATGAGGCAAATCTTTTGCCTCTCTTCAAAAAAACTTGTAAAGAGGGTGTGGCAGTAGCTACAATTGGATGACACCCGGCAGCAACTATGTGAGTGCATGGATGGGATAGAACTGTTGCACAAAACCCTTCGGCTGCCGGGGGAGAAAACAATCCGGGTTGCATGCCTCCTCTGGAAATGGTGGTCCTGGCGCAATAAAGTTAATGCTGGAGACAAGCCGTCAGCAGTAGAAAAGCTGCCAGCAGAAATCAATCATTGGGCGCTTGAATCATTGGCGCTGTGCCGATCGGAGCGACCTACCCCTCCAATCACGACGCAGCAGACATGGAGGAGACCCGAGGGTGATATTCTGAAGATAAACTGTGATGGAGCCTTTAATGCATCCCAGGGGACAGGTGGTTGGGGCTTCGTTGTGCGGGACGAGGCCGGTGACGTCAGAGGCTCAGGGGCGGGATTTCTGCAGCATGTCGTGACAGCGCTGGCAGCTGAGGCCCGAGCTTGTGCTGCTGCGCTGGAGACAACAGCGGCCTGGGGAATGCTGTGTGTTCATGCCGAGACGGACAGCCAAGTCCTTGCCAAAGCACTGAACGGTCGAGAGGTTGATTTGGCCATGGAGGGGATCCTGTTCACAGAAATCTGCCAGTTCGCGTGCATGATTTTTAGTCATATATCCTTCTCTTTTGCCCCCAGGGCATGTAATACGTTAGCTCATGCTGTAGCTGCTTTTGGCGCATGACACCCTATAGTGAGAGAGACCTGGATTGAGGCTCTCCCTGACGATGTATCCGTTGGACGGGCCAGCGTTGAGGCTGGACCCGGGTAATGTATGGAATCTAAGTGTTCCATCTAAAAAAACAGGTTCTCGCGGGCAGCTCGGGAGCAAACCCTAGCCGCCGCCAACAGCCCACCCACCATCCTCTTCTCCCCTCGCCGCCGTCGGCAGCGGCCACCGGGCAAAGCCCGCGCGGCTCGGCGGTGGCGGGGCCCCTGTCCCCCTTCCGTCCAGAGGTGGCTGGCGCGGGCCGGTAGCCTCGGCGAGAGCTCGAGCTGCTGCGTGCGCTCAGGGCGGCGCGACTGGCCGGCGGGAAGGCGCACGGAGGCGCGGGCGCGGATCCAGTGGTGGGATGCGAACGTGGAGGCGCAGCGAGCGCAGGAGGATGCACGCGGCTGGGTGCGAGGAGGCGTGCGGTGGACGCACGAGGAGGCGTGCGGCTGGGCGCGGTGTGTGGCCATGGGTGCGGTGTGCTGGTCGCCTGACCACCGGCGCGGATCTGTCGGGCGACGGCCGGTGGTCTTCGCACGGTGGCCCACCAGGCAGGCATGGACGCTGCAGATCCGGCCTTGGCAGCGCAAGATGGGCAGCTTCTCTGCCCCGATCTGTTGTTCTGGAGTCCAAGCGACCGGGAGGAGACAACTGCTGGTCGGAGGTCTGTGGCTGGCGGTCCGGGAGGGGCACTGCTGGCTGGTGGTGGTGCCCGGATGCCGC